ACAATAAAGAGCAAATAATAAATAAACATTGCAATTATCTTAGAAATATACATATTAGATCCAAGAAAATATATAATTTGATAGCTATGGTACTATAATGATAGAACAATGGGTGACTTGTAACAATTTTGACATTCTTTCTTATTCTGAGCTGAAAAAAAAAGGTCTGCAAGTTTGAATTCATTGTTCCATATTAAGGTCCTAGAACAGCTCAATACATTGTAAAACATGTTGCAGTAAAAACAGCTTCAAGTCACCTGATATTTTGAGTGACTTTTGAAACAAAGGTTAGGTTTTATTGCTTTAATATCGTTGGTGCACATTATATATAATAAAAATGTAACCATTTAGGTATAAATGTTTAATGTGAGTTTTTAAGCAAGGGTCTAATTTAATGTTGTGCTCAGTTTATATTATTTGTCAGGTACCGAATATTGAGTGTCTACCATTTGCTAATATTTGTTATATGCCCTTTTCACAAGGATGCGAAATGTGAATTGGTACATATAATTGCAAAAATTACATATAGGTAAGCACTACACACACATTCGCACACATGTTGACATAGGTGAAATGAGTCTCATGCATAAGCATAAATAGTGTTTGAAATTTGGGGTATTATAGCTCAGGTCTATACTAATACTCTATGATGCTTTTAAATTATAGTAGTGAAATCGTTAGTTTTTGGGAGGCCTATAAAAATTTTCGGGAGTGTTATGCCCCCCCCCCTATTTGGGTCTATGGTCTCATGGCTCATACCAATGTATATTTATACAATATAACTATTCAATGTAATATACGAAATGCTGCAAAACGATATACCTCCATGTAAAATAGGCCTCTTATATATTAACTAGGTAATTTAAATCAGTGAGTAAGAAACCTATATGCGTGGCTATAAGGTTCAGATTAATTATCTAAAATAAACTAGTACCTATTTAAGATTTCAATGTGCATTATATTTGAGGCACCAATACATTTTTTATTTCAGATCATAATAATAAAAATTTTGAAATTCCAAAAACTCCTTAACATTAGTAAAGTCATGCAAGAGAAAACTATTTGACTCCATTACTTCTGAAGGTAGTAATATTATATACTATTATAGACTCGCTTTTGTCAATTAACTAGCAATTTAGAATAATTAAGGATAAAAAAGAACTTTTTTTAGCTTTAGAGATATAAGTATTAACTTTTAAGTTTTTTAAGATTGTATTTGTATATGCATATGTTTTAGATGACTCTGCTGATGTTTTAGATGATACTATCAACCCAAGGCTTACACTGAATATAAAAAGGCATAATAATAAAACTAATAGTAATTCAAATAATTTAAATTCTCCTGATGAAAATGCAAATCGAGTTATTACTATCAATCTAAAGATTTTAAACGGCAAGGTATGATAATAACTGAATATTTGTATTTTAAGATTAATTATATATAATAATTCTTTATAGGCATGTATTAAATGTTATTAAAATAATATTATACATTTTTTGCTTTATTTAGTGCTTTCACTGAAAAACACTCCTCATCAGATATCAAAAGAAGTAAATACACAATATGATAATTCCTCCGAAGAGCATTTTACAGTAACTGGTAATAATTAATTTAGATAAATCTTTAAATATTAGATATACTATTTAGCAGTTGATATTATTTTTTAAATGCCAAACAATCTATAGTTTATACTTCTTCATCACCGTTTTAAGTAACTTCAGAAGTTAATGTTGACTATATATCAAATAATATGATCCTCAAAAATCAAATATATGTACCTGGTATGATATAAAACTTACATATAATAACTATTAAGAAATAAAATGAGTGTAATAATAAACTAATATATATAAAGTATAAACTATATTGAATATAAGTATGTGTCTATTGAAAGTTAATAATGTGTGCTTCGGTTCTTAATGAATTTAAAATTGTTGATAGTTTAAAAAGATATAGTATTTGTTTAATGTTGTTGAGTATAGTATAAGTATACATTAACTATAGTTATTTGACTTATGTGAATAAGCTTCGTCTTTCAAAATCACAGGGTTAATTTTCATAAATGAATACACCATAAGGTTAAACTTATATATATAATATGATAAACTATAATATATATTTACATCTCAAATACTTTAAGTTAAAGAAAATCTAACTAAATATAATATATTTTATTTTCTATTATATAATATATTCTATGTATTCTTAATAGTCATAGAATATAATAAATTATTTCAATTATAGTTCATTATTAAATCTTCAATTATTAATTGTATTCACTTAGAATTTTTATATATTTGGTTTTGCACAACAAAATAAGGTTATATTATGTTGGTCATTTTTAGGTTCAAGTAGTTTAAATAGAAGATATTACACAGAAACTTATACGTATAAAGAAGGGTCTAAAATTTTAAATAAGATAACATTGAAATAGGAACACCACACACAGTACTTCATTCAACTTTGCAAAGTTCTATAAATGATACTGGTTAGTTTAAATGACAGGAGTGTCCTATTAAATTATTGGTTTATTATGAATTAGTTTTTATTGTTAAATATCTTTTTTTTCTATACTACAGAAATAAAATGTGAAACGTATATTGTATATATATAAACGCATACAAGTTGTTTTAAAAAAAGGTATGGTGTTGAATGTTTGTATCAAACACTTCAAAAACAGATAAAAAAAATAGAAGAAAACGGTTACTAAAACAGCCGCTAATGAATCAACTTATATTGAAACAATAAATCAAGAAGACGATTTTGAATCTAAACTTCCTCTAATGAATGAAGATGATCTTCATATATTTTAAAACAAGCTCTCTAATAGGAGTTTCAGATTAAATATGGTTAGTTTAAATAGTTTATAATTTGTATGTTTTTTAAGTGTACAAATTCCAATTTAATGTTTTTTCAGGTCAATGGCTTTAAACAATTAGTCAGAAAAACTTTAGCTTTTTAAATACGCCAAGTAATGCGTAAACTATTTTATGATGAACTATTAAAATACTATAGTTATATTGGTAAAAAAAAAAGAAAATATTCTCGACGCTGTCAACTTGTTACATTATTTTTGGTAAGATAAAAATGTGTTTAATGGACTCATAGGCGTGCGCACGGGAGGGGCAGGGTGGGCAGCTGCCCCTCCTGCGGGCTCAAGTTTTCTTACAAAATAACAAAGTTTTTAAAAAAATATTATAATACAGTTTTATAATATAAATTATAATGAATATTATGTAAACATTGAGTGCTCGATGTACAGTGCACGATGATTTTATGTTGTCCAACTTTAAGCGAACCACAAGCGATACCGCGGTGATAACGAGTGCTTATAATCTTATTATAGCATGATGTAGATTGACATGTGATGAGACATGAAAGTGAGTAGTAATTTGACGGCATTTTGCGAAAAACGTTCACCGGAAGCGCTAAGAAGGTCGGTTCTTTAAATAATTAGTAATTAATAATTATAATAATTAGTATGCAGTATACGAACAAATATTATAGCTCTTTACTTCCGAAGCAATTTTCGGAATTTTTAGTATTTTAGTATTTTTATGCTCAACGTGTTGATTAAATCAGAATATACCTATCTTTTTTTTAATGTGGTGTTTTATATTGAAATTAATTTTCTATTTATACTGTAACCTACAAATCAAATTGTTTATTATATACCTATAAAGTATAATTTATAAAACAGTTTAAATAATAGGTTACATGCCTACAATAATGTATAAATTTCAATATAACCAAAGAATAGAATATTATTGATACATTAATGCATGATATAATAGTGGTACTATTTTTGGAAAAATCATACTAAGGATTTACATTTTTTTTTAAATGTTGATATTTATATGTTCAACGTGTTGGTGCAAATAATAATTTACCTATCTTACTTACTTTTTTTGTAATTGTAAATAAATAGTAAGTAGAATTAGTAAATTCAGATTTCACCAACACATCGGGCATAAAAATATATATGAATGCAGTGGCGGATCCAGGGCTTAATTTTGGGAGGGGCATGGGGGGCTCAAAAGTATATGAAAGTTCCAAAATTGGCTAAACACAGTGTAAAACAAAGGAAAACTACGGTTATTGGGGGGGGGGGCAAATGCCCCCTTTTCCATCCCCCTGGATCCACCACTGTATGAATGTAATAATTTTCTTTGTTCATGTATATTAATATAATATAAAAAACTTTGGAGTTTCAATTACTATATTAAATTTGTAGTTATTTGTAGTTTTAATGATACATAAAATGAAAATACTTCCATCACTTACATTAATTGAACTAATAACCAAAATAATATTTACTTACCTATATATTATATAATATACCTATAGGTACATTATTACATTCTGCCCCCCCTGCCAGCAAGGTCTGCGCACGCCTATGAATGGACTATGTTCTTATAATAATATTATATACTAATTAGTAATTACTTATTAGTTATTAATACCAATATATATATAATAGTTTCTCTTAACTTAAACGTTGCTATTTAACATCATTACTCTTCGTTTAGAATATAATAAACATTTACCATTTATGATATTTACATAAATAAGTTCTATGAATATTGGCATATCTGTAGTTCTCTTACTCTGTTTTAATTTTCATATAGATTCTAAAGCTAAATAATAACACTAAAAGCATAAGTTAATATTTTGTAAAAATGTATAAAATCTAATAGATGATCTTTAATAATATTGTAGTTGTCACCTATTATAAAGTAGCCTTTTATGTTTTCAGAGACCTTAAGAAAATGTAAAGATTTCCAAAACGCTTTAAACACTGAGAACTAAAAAGGTAAATTAAAATATACATTGCTGGAGCAGCATTCAGAATAAAAAATAATCTTATTTATTTAATTTGTTATTATTATATTTATTGTAATAATAAAAGTTATGTTTATAATACAAATTAAAATGTATCGTATAGATATCATTATTTTAATAAAGAACAAAAAATTACTGATATTGATTTAAAGATTGTTTATTGTGACAAATCACTCTCTTCCTCACTCTTTTCCTCACTTTTTTTTTTGGCAAATTTGCCTGATAACAAATCTAGTACATCTACAATTACTTGCCCACTAAAAGCTCTCCTCAGAAGTTTTTGGCGAGTTGATATTGACAAGTCGGCAACATCAGTGAAATGTTGTGGCAAACCAAATATCTCTTCAATCTCTGTTATAAATAAGCTTGTGTATTGTCCATCTTGACATACGGGATCTCCAGACTTGTCTGAATAAAATTGAAAAAACATATGTATTAATTTTAAAATATTAATAGTATATTATAAAAGTAGGTATTTCATAAATCAATAGCATACTATCTTGTAAGCAACTTCTTTTTGAAGTGATGGTTCCAACACATTCTACATTGGCCTGTCTGTCTAAATTCTTTTCTAAATTATCGTCCAGTTTTGGTGCATTATTAACATACTTCAGCTTCTGGATATCAGGCAACATTGTTATCCTTGGGAAGTTCGACCAGATATATCTTTTACGTCGCTGTGGGTTGAAGTGAAATGAATCAAGAACAATTGGTTGACATTCTAAATACCTGAATAAAAAATAAAATATTTTATAGTGTAATTAATTTTGTTTAAATGTATTATGTTCACTTATAGTTATATTATTTACTCTGAAATTATGTCTTTATTTTCAATATCCATGCTTGCCAAATTTTCGTAAAACCAATAAAAAGGAGTCTTTTCTCTAGCAGCTTTTAGACTTAGATAGTTCCATATACGGTAATAATCAAAGAATAATATACCAGTTCCTGTGGGATCTACAGTAAACATATAATTATTAATGGTATAATGTTATTCAATTATAATTATTTAGATGTACTTACAGTTGCACTCAATTATTGAGAACACCAAATATACGTATGCAATAGATATAATATTTTTTAATTATTCATTCATAATTACCGAAAAGTCCTTTTTTTTTATTATTGTCTTCAGATAGGTCGGAGGAAGGTGAACCACCAAAAAGCAGATTTATAGGTATGATTTGGTCCAACACATTGGTGGTTATTTCAGAAACCGAACCCAATTGTGTAATGGTCTCGGAAAAATAATATTTAGTTAACATTAATGCATCTTCATCTATTTCACTTGCATAAAATACTTCAATATCAAACTTTAACTTCAACAATGCACGATACCCTATTTATGAAAAAAAAAACACATAATAAATGAAAACGGCCTCGTGTTAATTGTAGCGCAATATACGTTTTTCTTATTTATACGTAGATTTTCATTTCATTATTTCTTTAATTATTACCTGTGCCAATTCCGTTAAAGAGAGACAGTACTCTAAGTCGTGGTAATACAGGTGTACTTGCACTTGACGAAGATACTATTGTACTCTGCGAACAATAATTATAGAACACAATTATTGTACTGTGAATTGTAAGTATTAACTGTACATGGTGATTCCACTAGCATTTCAGCCTTTTTATATAACTAATAATGTTTTAATTCAAAATTCGATTTTTAGAATTTTTAAATGTACTTTGAGACTATATTTTTGAATACTATAGAGAATTGTTGCACCAAGTAAGGAGTGTCCTCTGCGTATATAAACATATATATTTTTCAAATGACAACATCCAACCTTTCTTAATTTAAATCATTGAATCAAATATTTAGATGAAATTTTAATACATCTATTTAAAATCTAATCAAAATTCAAACAACTAGTTTTTGTGTTATTAAAATGTATATTATCATGTACAGTATACAGTTATAGTATACTAGCTGATCCCTTGCACTTCGTTGCTCATTAAATGTACCAACTCTATATGACTCAAACTTTGTTCAATTCGTTATTTAATATTCGGTGTATGGTGTTCAAAATGTATCTTAACTTAACCGAGGTAGATAGCGGACCCCGTGCTGTTTGTACATAAATGTAGGTATGATTTAACTCTAAAGTATCAAAGTTATACCTAGTTTGTCGTATTCCACCTATGGTGGATTAATATAATCAATTAATACAAAATTCTAACCTAACCGTACTAATATCAGATGAAAACAAAAACTAAATTTAACTATTTTTAAATTAGCCTGTCTTCTTCCCAGAGGTCTAATATATATATATATATATAATTAGTCTATATATTAGACCTATGGGTAGAAGACAAGCTAATTTAAAAATAGTTAAATTTAGTTTGTTTTTTTCATCTGATATTAGTATGGTTAGGTTAGGATTTTGTATTAATTGATTATATTAACCCACCATAGGTAGAATACGACAAACTTTCCAAAAATTCTAAAATTATATTTTGAATAACTAATATTATATTGAAGAAAAAAGGAGGTAGGCACTGGGCATGTATTTATTATAATTTAAGATATTTGAACACAACAAATACAAACCTCATTGTCGTCTACTTCCATGTCAGAAGATTGATTGTCAGCCATTTGTATTCCTTTATTGTAAAGTATCTAAATAACATAACTTGTAGGTTTTTATTTTGATATAAATAATTAAAACACAATAACATTTAAAGGTTTACATAATATAGGGAATATAACTAAATAATTAGGACATGATATTTTTTAATACTGTTTGTGGATAGTTATTTTAACACAAAACAATAAAAGTTATACTAAGTTTTATACCGTTTTCTATAAATTTAAGTAATAATCAATTTTACTCTAAGGTATGAATATTAAGTTATGAATATTATCTAGGGCAGAGGTATTCAAACTGTGCGTCGCAGCTCCCAGGGGTGTCGCGAGAGTTGTTGAAGGGAGCCGTGTCAAAGCACCGGAAACCAAAATTAATGTAGGTCAGTCCCTAAATTTCATTAGTTTTGTCTATTGTCCAAATGTCTACTAGAGTACTAGTACTAGACAATAATGTAACACATTAACCGACTATTTGAAGTTTTATTTCTAGTACTAAAATCACTATTATCACCACCCATATTGACTACCTATATTAATATAGTATCTATATCGTTTCAATTTTTTTCATAAAAATTTGAAATCCGCAAAAATATTCTGAACCCACAAATGAGTCACGGGATGAAAAAGTTTGAATACCTCTAATCTAGGGTGTCAAGTTTAGTTTTTTTGATAATTCTAAATAATTTTATAAGCAATATAAAAATTCCAAAAAATGTACAATCACATGGCCACGTAGTGAGTTCTGTGTAACTATGTTAAGACAGATATAATACTTGTTGGCAAGCCTTTAACCAAAAAAAGTTAAGTTAAAATGTAAGTGGCTATTTATATATTTAAAAAAATAATAATAATAACAACTCAAGTTAATAAGTTAATTGTAAGTTTCCATTTAACTTTTAACTTAAATGAGTTAAAAAAAATTAGGGTAACTATTAACTTTAAACTTTTTAAAAATATTTTCTATAACTTAACTTAACTCATATCAAAATGATCATTAACGTCCGTTAACATCTGAAAATCCACCTGAAAACCCTTTGTTCATGGTCTGTATAAAAATATTTAATTCCAGTTTTTTGTAGGTATAAATATATTAAGTTACTTATTATTAATTTATTTAGGAATCCACACCAGAGAATTTGCAGATACTAATTTTAGAGGAAATGGAATGTATACTAACTGACTCATCAATGATTGATAATTCATTGGTATAGTAGAAAAAAATTTAATATTTGGTGATAAATTGGAGCATAATTACACAAAATTGAATATATTATATAAATATAAATTATTTTAAATGTTTAAAATCAATAATATTGCTCAACATTATAACTAAATGATAGTTTACTACTTACATTATTTTTCACAAAAATTATAGATTAAAAAAATATAGAACCGTAGTAATACCTTTAATATTATAACCGTAAAAATATAATTAATTAGTTTATTAATTTAGGCAATAATTGAAATACTAAACCTACTAGTATTTTTTCTATCCCAACAATTGTATTAATACTAAAGACTTTTGTATAACCTATTTTCTTTTGATATACCTAAACATTTATATTCACCATTAAATTAATTAGTACCAAATGGGGAATAAATGTAACTTTTATACCCACGTGTATAGTTATATAAAAATATATATATTATTGTTTCACAAACTGATAAATTTAAAATAAATTGAACTTTTATAATATTACTGTAGATTAAAAACATTTAGGTAACCACTAGTTTGTTTAATACTCCAAAACTTAATTTTAATTGGTACTTAAATTTATGTTTAATTAATATTTCTTATTAAATTTAGATCTAAAATTTAATAAGAATTATTTTACCCACTAGGTTTCAATTGTCATTAAAATTGATTTACGTTCTCATGACTATGAAATTAATTTGGAGAACTTCAAGAAACCAGACAAAAAATTGACTGTACAAATTTTTCAAGTTTCACCCTAAACAACCGTATGATAGTGTAACTTTTAATCCACTGAAAATGTATTTTAGAAAAGAAAATAATGTGAATTTTATACGGCATTAGTGTCTTAAGTGAAGAATCCAGAAATATTGATAAATTAGTAGATACTAAAAATTCATTTATCGACTAGGATAATGATGAATTTATTAAAAACAATTTAGACTTAGACTATTGTCATCCAGAAAAAAGATATAGAAAAAAAAAATCAATATCTGGTGAAAAAACACATGATGAAACTCCAGAAAATGCCATCCCTCTTTTTAAACTCGGGTACTTAATGTGGTATATGATCAGGTAGTATCAAGTTTAAATAATCGTTATAAAAGTCATGGTGATTTGAAAGAAATTTCACTTTTAGATCCACATTATTTTAAGGAGAACTTGACAGAGATTAGCTGGTTGAGTTCAAAACTAGCAAATTTAAATTCAGAAATCACTGTAGGTAAATTACATTCTGAGATACAAGATTTTATTAGAAAAAATGCTAAACTGTCAAAAACACTTAATTTTTAAACAAATATTTATTAATTCTTATTTATTAGATAAGTTACTATAATTATTGGTTTGATAAAGTTTTTTTTTATGTATCTTTAACATGTTTATATATATATATATATATATTATAATTATTATTTGTTTATCTCGACTGCTTATTGTAATAATATGTATAATTTAAATTGTATGATATATTATGAATTATGATGTTATTACTAAAATATGGATAGCTATTAAAGCTTATTCTATACAGCTCAAAAATGTGTCTAAATATTAATTTATCTACATTATGTACATTAAAGAATGTTAATCTTACTGAAAAATAGGACATTAACTTTTTCAGGGCTAGTTAAAACCTAAAACTGGGTGGGCCGATACCTTGCCTATCTGGCGCTGCTTATACAAATATAATATTATATAATAATGATATTTCTGTAAAGGTATTAAAATTACAATTAACAAATAATACAGCACCTTAATTTGAATAATTAGTTTGCTTTTAAAAGAATTGTGACCAGCTTGTATTTGAGGTAACCACTTCATAATAAAAGTCCCCATAATAATTGAAACATCACTTAGGTATACTATAGGTGCCTCTTTACAATTAATATTTAAAATAATAAATTATCCTAACTGCTAATAAATTATTAAAAAGCGGAAAAACAATTGTTTTTATTTTAATTTCTTGTAAACCGGAAAACTATAAATTGTAATAAATGTGGATCTCTAATCTAATAAAGTAGAAACTCGACTAACTGTCACTATAGGGTCGTAAGGAGCAGGACTATGAAGGTTAACAGAAAATCAGCCATAAATGTAAATATATTTTACAACGTGTGTACATATTTTCATACAAAAATAATAAAAACATATAGTACATACTATAGAAAATTGTCCTAGACAGGGTAACAGTGTCAGACTTGGGTAAAATACTTTTAAAAGTATTTCAAATACATATTCCATATACTTAAAAATAAAGCATTCAGAATATATATTTGAATATGTTATGATAATAATATTGCTAAGTATTCCAAATATTTTTCGAATACTTTTTTTTAGTAGATTTAGATTTCAATAGCAAAAATATAATTTTTTCAATTCTATGTTTATCTAGGTTTATCCATGAACATTATTATAATCTCGATAATACACACCTATCTAGATATCTAAGTTATAAATTATAGAAATAAGTAGAGAGCGGATTTTAATAGCCTAAAAAAATCTTAAAACGCTTTAGAAAAAATGCATTATGACCAAAAAAATTTAATTAATGAAGTAAAAAAATGCTTTAAAAATGTGAAAAATTTAATTAATGCCTTTACAAAATGCATTTTACACAAAAATGACCTTGGAAATGACCTTAAAAATACAATATTCATTTTTAGATGATTTTTTTGGGGGGGCATTATTTAACACAATATTTATCCATATTAAAATTACAACATGAAATAAAGGCATACGAAATACGACCGTAATGTTACACAAACTCATTAATTATTTGTTATTTATAACAGTACCGGTGACATATTGAACAGATATGCATTAAAACCAACAAAAATTACCCAATAATGCTAAAAAATGCTCTAAAAATAAATACACGTCGAAGTATGCAAAATAAAATGTTTAGCTTTGAAACACTCGTCACATGAAACAAATTATGTACTTGGAACTTGGAAGCATTGTCTAAGATCAACCAAAAAAAAATGCATTTTGCATTGAAATCCACCCCCTAGTGGCTAGTAATAAGTAATAATATTACTGTCCAACTAAAAATAGTAGAAAATAAAATAATAATATTAATAATGTACACATATAACTATAAAATATTTTGTATAAAAATATAAATACCTATATAAGTACAAAAGCAATTTCTATGACGGAAAATAATGAAATTATTTTTAAAATGTAATTTTACGTTAAAAAAATATTCCGAATACTGTACTCAGAATACTTGTAAAAAGACGTATTCAAAATACTGTATTGAATACTTTCAAAAAAAAAGTATTTAAAAAGTATTCGGAATACTACCCAAGTCTGCAGGGTGTGACGGTTAATCGAGTTTCTACTGTAAGTATAATATAGTAATCATATTCTAAAGGCAAATTTCAAAAATGTTAAATAGAAAACAAACGATTAGCAGAGTATTTAACTATAGTTAAATATTTATAAATGATATAATAATTATAGATATATGATTCGTTTACGATCTGTAACACAGATTATACTGCGGTCATAAGCGAAAAAGCCGTAGGTCACCGGAGAATGATTTTGAGAAAAACGGGTTTTTGTGTTTTATATTTTCATAAAATCTTAACACATTGTACATTCTAATTATTCAAATATGATTTATATTTTCCTATGTAATTTTACCCACCGGATGCAATGAAACAATAATAAATATGATTAAATTAATTTCAAACAAGATATCTTACTTTTAACATTGTACCTTAGTATTGGTATAAACTTATGATACTTTATTCATAAGCGAGAATGCCGTATCTCGTAAGTATCAATTTCTGAGATGATAAAACTATTTATA